AGAAGCCGACGCAGACGGCTCGATACTTGAGCTGTATGAGGGGCCTAAAGCTGAATCTCCAGCCGTCGACGATAAGGATGGAAATCGTTTTGAGCCTTTTATAGCGAACGGAATTACCTAGTCGGTGTGAAGGTAAGATCAACGCGTTATTGAAAATGAAATGGTCCAAAGGGATTTTTCCCCTTATCCAATTGGGAAGCGCAGCGCGCGCTCCCATAAGAAAGGATGTGGCTCACAGGACAGAAAACGACTTTTTCGCGTTTCGCAGCGCGAAACATTTTTCGCTGCGGGAACCTCAGGTCCACCGCTGATCATCAGTGGACCCACAGCGAAAAATGCTTCGCGCTGCGAAACGCGGAAAATCGCTTTCTGTTCTAGTAAACCACGCCGAAAAACTGCGACAAATGAACTGGAATGCAATGAATTTCTGTACCTTCCAATGCTGTCTCCAGCTTACTTCGTTCACAAACGTTCTGTCGCATGCATCACATTTGTGACTGCCTTTTTCAGACAATCTCTTCTCCTTAATCGCCATTTCTTCCTCACGAATCTGCTCATCCGTCCAATTGTGTACACGTCTCAAATGTTGATACAAATGTGCCAGTCTCATTGGACCACAGTCACAGACGGGGCAGCAACATGTCACCATCTACAGAGTACAGGTAAGAGCGAAGGTTAGGAACCGAGGATTGCATGGACGCAAAATGTGTGCGTTGAGCGTGCAGTAGCGATGCGTTGTGACCCCTGGAGCCTTATGCAGGAGTACTCGCGTGTGGTAGAACTAGAACAGGACTTTTCCGCTCTTCGCAACGCAAACATTTTCGAAGAGGGACTTCCAGGTCCACTACTAATTAGGACTGAACTTGGGGTTCTCGCATCGGGGAAATTTTCACTCTGCGATAGCAGAAAAACGCTTTCCGTCCTAACGAACCACACTCAGAGTACACGGCTGTGGGTGGTTCCCAAAACTCAGCATTTATACTCCGATCGATTACAGAGTATGTCAACAGATTCGTTCGGATCCCCGCGCTACTAGTCATGACCGCGACGTCGCAACTGCACACGAGTTTTGGTGTACGTCATTCAAATTGGAATGTTAAAGAAACGCTAAGTCAAGAGCGCCTTCACTATTCACAATGCGCTGCAGGTATCAATTCCCTCGAAACTTTCTTCTTTCCGCTTTTCAATATTGCAATATTGTCGGAAACAAGATTGGGTGCTGATGTAGTTGCAGGGGCCACGCGGCGACGTGGTGCTCTGTTTCTCTGTCCCTCTAAGGCTTCTCAGATATTTATGAGGATTGCAAGAAATTCATGCTCCAACTCCCACACTCAAAAATCACCGCACCCATCGGATAATTGCCGCGTCATGACGCCGCACAAGTGGTCGCGCACGCCGGCGCGACGTCCGGATTTATTTGTAGACCGCTCCCCGTCAATGACGCATTCCAAGAAGAGAGAAGGTAGAAGTTGCGTCCGAGCACAGTTTTGAGCCACCCTCCGGCCGGGTAATGCTGCATACATCCCAGGTATTTTGAACCTTACAACGGAGACCAAGCACGACATTGGCCATGTTTTGTTATGAGGTAACAAAATGATCCTCTGCAGAAATAGTTTGATGTGCATCGCTGACCGTTGCGCAACCGCATGCTCAATGCAGTAGTTCTGCGTCCTTGCCTTACATCGAATGAATATTATCGTAAAGATGCTAGAACAATGTAATCAGGAATCATCCAAAAAAGAGAAGTGTTCCATCAAGCTCAGTGAAGAGAGAAGTTTTAGTGAATCGAAGAACGAAACAGAAGTTTTGGCACTCAACTATGAGTACACCAAAATCTCAAAAATTTTTCATCTGAAACCTTGCTTATAGGGTCAATGCGATGCTATGATTACGAATATAATACTACTTTTTGAGCCAGTTGGCGCCACTTTGTCACGTTTTTCCACCAAAGTCGGTGTAAACTTACCCTCGCCTTCAAATGACCAGAAATTGTGCAATTGCAGAAATTGACGTGGCATTAACGTGGCATCGATTCAAGAACATCTTTGAGCACACGTGACGTCACCTTTTCATCGAGAATTTAGCCACGTGTGCCACGTGGATTTCTGGCTGCATGAAACAGAGTGTATGTATTAGGGCTTATTTGTTGCAATTACGAATATGACATCAACTTTTGAACGTGCTCTTCCTAAAGGCCGATGTCAGACTTTGCGAATCGCGCGATTCGCTAGCGTCTGCGGTCGCGTCGCGGCCAGTGAATCACTCAATTGGCTGGTACCGCAACGCGACCGCGGACGCTAGCGAATCGCTAGTAGCGAATCGCGCGATTCGCAAAGTCTGACATCGGCCTAATTTTCCGCTCTCCTGGGCTCTCTCACTTAGGTACAGTGCCTAAGAGCAAGCTTGTTGGAGAGGGGACATCGCGTTGAGTAGAATGCGCATCGTATAGCAAGAGAAGTGTGTGAGATCAAAAGGCTAGTGGCTTGCTCACCTCTGAGCCTCCTCTCCCCAAAGGCTTAGTCCTGATCGCGATCAAACCAGTGAGAGGGCGCAGACGAGCAGAAAATAGGCGCCAAATGGCGCCAAGCCAAAAATGAATGTCATATTCGTAATCAGGACACCAAATAACCCCTATATACAAGTTTACACCGAATTTGGTGAAAACAGCCGTCGTGACAAAGTGACGCCAGCGTCAAAAGAATATCATATTCGTAAAGGGCATCGAATTATCTCTATAGAAGGGCATAGAATTACCTCTGTAAACAGTCTCAAGTTTGGACGAAAAATAAAATTTTGCGATCGGGGGGCAGTATTGTTAGAACAGCGCCCAAGTTTTACAAATATACACGTCCTTGGTATCCCTATTATCCCACAGTTAGTCAACGGCATCTAAGGCTTTGCTAAGAAGGGCTTCTTAACCTAACCCTTCTCATCTACTTCGCTCTTTGGATGAATTTTACATAACCTCTGCTTTGTGAAGGCAAACCAAAAATCTTTTCTTTCAAGATTTACCCTTCGACACATTTCAGGACTATGCTCCACCTTGTGCTTAAGGAGTCATTATACCTACCCTCAACGCATTTCTCGCGTCCAAACTCAACAACCCTTCATAGACAATCTCATTCCATCCGTCATGTAGGCCAATAAAGGGCAGCCTAGCCAACGCACACACGATTCGTCGCATAGATCTGGAAATTATGGAGGCCGCAGGCACGGCTATTGGCTGACCGAAGATTACTGCGTGGTGGGTAAAAATCACTTGCCCTTTCTTCTAGCAACCATTAGCAGTCACTTATTGAACTCACCTCTAAGAGGTTGAATCTCTGCAAAGATAACAAAGGAGCTGTCCTTACTAACAATCAATTATGATGAAAGGCGGCATGATGGAGAGAACCTGGTTCGGGGCGGACGAACGATGTCGATTAGCCGACACGGCGATGACGGGAGGGGTGGCGTGATCGGCCCACCATTGGCTATCGCCCAATTGGCTCCACCCCCGCGCGATGTGGTTGGTCGGCCGGTGCCGCACCCAATGAATCAGCGACTTGTTTATGCGCTCGGCTCCTGCAAAGGGCGCCGGCGCAAGTGGTCGTTGTGATTGGGTGCAGCCTGCCAGCCCATCGATTCTGGTTTAACGCTTCCCTTCGCCGCGATCCACTAGAAGGGCACCCTTTTCGCGTTTGCGTTGTTGTGCGATTGCCAGGGTGAGGGAACTAATCTCGAAACGATTTTACTCCTAATTATGTCTACTAACACCTCGTAATTACTTCTACTAACACCTGCGTCCATTTCCCTTGGTATGCGCAGGAGTTAACTCTGCACTGGTGCCGAAAAGGTTACGAATGGGAAGCTGTCCTGTGAGTGCTGCTCACCTGGGATTTGTAAAGGCACACATGTTCGACACGAGCAGGCCACATAGGCGCACTCCTTAACTGGCTACTGGTAACTGATCAGGTAAAAGTTCTTATCAAAGGCTTTTGTCCTTGATTAACCAACAATTGGATTGGTAATACTTTTTGTAATACGCCATGCAGCCTCTTAGCCTTAAGAACCGCGGTAGCACTCAAATGTGATTTCGCCTTCACAATGGCTTATGGTGAGCAGCTGGTGTTTTAGTCACTGTTTTCATCGCAGACGAGCGTTTACTAATTAGCTCGATATTTGAACGCTTGAATGGCATTTCCAGGATTCGATCCCAACTGCGTGCGCGATGAACAACGCCACCTGCCACTGCACCATGTTCGCCCTACTATATGATATGATGAAACGGAAAGGAACCAATAAAGGAGGCGATGCGAAGGCCTAAAAAACATCACTGCGTTTGATGAGGATGGATTGAAAATAAAAAGAATAAATAAAAATAAAATAAAAAATAAGAAATTAAAAAATAAAAGAAAACAATTATCTTCTCATCTTTCTTATCCACATAATCATGTAAACACGTTTCATACATCCAGCACATTATTTATTTTTAAAAGTCTAGTGAACATCTACAAAGCAATATTGGAAAAAAGTCTGATGACTCAGTAAAACAACACATCACGCATTGACTTTACCCTTAACCCGTAGATTTTTATTATATTCAAAGCACAGATCATGAATAATGTACAGCAAATCTGATTCTTTTCCCTTTTGAAATCTAATCTTTATGTTGATCATCGTTTAACCGCCTCTTGGTGATTTCTTGTTTGTCTTCGTCTGCCGTGAACAGCGGCTCACTTTCAAGCCTTGTCAGATTGTACAAAGCAGCACTTCCCACGATAATTCTTGCCGCTCTTGATGGCCTACATCAGAAGAAATTTTCAGAAATACAAAAGCCATGCAATCAATATCACTAACCTTATATTACTGAAAAGAATCGGGAACTGTCTTTTCCAATTCTCAACAGTTGCTTGCGCTATGAGATGCGCTTCCCTCAGCTTGTCTGCCCGCTCAGGATCTTCAAAAAGGAAAACGTTGCCATATTTATTGCACGCAATATCTACTAGCTGACTAACCTGACTGTCCACTGGGTGTCAAAAGAAACGACTCGTCATCATACGCATCATCACCAATGAGAATTCCCTTCTTTGTGCCGTCTTTCAGTTGCTCCCAGAGCAAACTTCTTTTGAATACCTTGAAGGCCTTTCGTACTTGAAAGGATATGAATTGAATCTTCACCTCACCGAATTGTCGTCAACATTAGTGCGGTACTTAGCGAAAACCCAACGGATCTTCATTTCATCGTCCGTCACCAGGCTGACATTGAGGGAATTAGGTGAATTGCTGAAAAATCTCGTAATCACTCAATCTGGACATTTTTCTGTGCCGTCTGTTCTAATCGTTGTGCTTCACTGCAAACTGCAATGATGTTGAAATACTCAGGACGACTATGAAAGGTCTCAGATTCCTCATTAATCTTGCACTGCGACGATAGCTGTACTTTCAAATCACAGCGATGCATAGCACGCTGATTACTCGTAACATATGAAGGTAAAGTTTTCCGTTGCGCTTATTCACTGATATGGAATCAACCTTAAAATCTTGCCGTACATACCATATCAGGTTGTAAGGAAAGTTCTTGCCGTTTCGGTCCCTAAAGTTCGGATGTGCATATCTCAATTCAAGCACGACGTTTTCGTCGGTAGTAGAACCACTAAGATCTACTCTGCCAAAATTGAGTGTGTTTGATCTCCTTTCACTGGAAGTACTGATATTCTAGAGGAGATGAACTCGGCAAGCTCGTTCACTACCGTATTAGATTTCGTGACAGTTCCCATTTTAGGTGCTATGCAGACGGTTGAAAAAGTGGCAGTGAGTAGGTAAGAGGGGTAAGAAGTAGTAGTAAGTAAGTAGGTAGGAGTAAGGAACTTGTGACACTCCAACTAGCTCATTTTTTACAGGACAGGTTCTCCTGTCGGTGGTTGATGGCGGAAAAGAGTCGGCCCATTTATGGCAGCGCTTAGTGTGTCATGTTTTTTTGGGGTATGTCGACATCTTGCAAAGAATGCTGTTACTTCATAATAGCTCCACCTATGCTCGGAGAGCTGCGCCTCCCGCAGACCGCGTAACAGGCAGCGCAACTTGCTCCTCAAGCACTTTCACCTTTGCAAAGTTTTTTTTAACCCTAAACGTGATTGAACTACTCAGACATTGCATCACACGATCCGAACGAAAAAAGGGTTGTTTTCAATGGATGAAAGAAGGTAGGAAAAGGACAGACAGTTTCGCGGAACCGCGATTTTCGCAGCACCCCTTATCGACTCTTCTAGGCTTTTCAACCTGTCTCATATGACTTGAATTCACAAATCAGATGTGTCTTATACAGTTCCAACAGTTCCAGTTGGTTCTATCATATATCTCAGCTGGCTTTTACCAACTTCGATAACCAACGACCACCCTCACTTTCGAGGCTCTCGCCATCCCAGAACACTTTTCGTAGATGCGAGTCCAAACGAGTAGTTTATAACATAAGTTGACTCCGTTCCCTTCTGCCCTAGTTCGAGATAGAAGAAGAAAATCGTGAGGATTTGCTTGTTGAGCATGTTGCATTCAAGGCTTTGAAAAAGTGGAAGTGATCGCTGCAGGACAAAGGTTACAGTACAGTTGGATAGAGCACAAACTGCGTTTTCTAATAGTATATAACATGCAGCGTTCACTAAACATCTATCCAAGAATAATGCCTTAAAACTTGAACTGTCGAAAACGGCAAGTCAATTTAAGTGCAGCCTAATATTCGGCTTTTCTATATAAGGATTAGCTGTGACTAACCCGCTACTCTTTTTTGGCCTGCATTGCTGATGCTTTTTTCCTGTCTTTTGATGCTTTTAATTTTTTTTGATCCGCGAATGAATAATATGGGGTTTCGGAACTAGTAAAGCCACGGAGCCTACAGATGCGAAAAAGTCTCGCCATGGGAAATGAAGTGAAAACATTCTTGCAGTAACCGCGCTCCAATCAACCTTTTCTCAGTGCACAATAATGCAATCTACTCAGCAAAGTGGTGCACATATCAAGAACACATGGAAGCGTAACAAAACCAGAAAAATGGGGATAAATTTCAACCTGTTTGATGCATCTGGAGGACCGGCTAGATCCACGACTGTTCCATCAATACAACCAACTACTCCGCCTACGCCAGTCTTTTCGAAGAAGCTGTAAAAATCTTCCATTAGATCTAGATATATCACTTGTTCGAAGGTAAGCCCCGGGACCAGGCTCACTAATAATGACCTCGCTGCGATGAACGTGATGGGTCCACACCTACATAGATCATGCAAAAACTTCGCTTCAACGCAAAACGGCGCGATTAGGCGCTAATCCTTACGGGCCTGCAACCATCGACCCCGTTGCAACGCTTCCCACCCACCGCGATTGATGTAGAGATCAGCGTGCTCTCTCGAACGGCGTGCTCTCTCGCGTGTTTTGTCTTCTTTGATCGCCCTGTCTCGCCATCGTACCACATCCGACCTTACTGGAGGTTAAGGCCTTATTTAGAGCTTCCGACGACTTCTCTTGATTTCCCTTCCACTTCCAATTCATTTCGCTATGAAGCGCTTTTATACACCAATTTTATAACGCGACTCGCTTTTAATTGAGAAACAATCACCTTTCTTCTCAAGAACTCTAACTCCGGAGCTACTGAGAAGGATGCCAATGTATCCTAACCGTTTTTCCCTTGAGTAACGATTTCCTTCTCACGTTCAAGTTCTGTATCTCTTTTATGTTTGTACTTATACACCGGAATTATTAATCATCATCTTCTATCTGCTGGGGAAACAAGCTACACTCAAATGATGTGGAGGTCCCAAACTCTTCGTTAAATTCTGCAATGTCTCAGGAAGCGAAATGCTCAACCATGAAAACATATGCTCTCGGTATACAATTCAAGTAATGCAGTCGGAGCTGGCCAACAACGGCCAGTGAGATGAATTTTGCAGACCATTGCAGAGTGGACTACTGAAGGCCACCGGCAGGCGGCTTTGCAAATTTTGCTCGCCTCACATCTAGCCCATAAACCTGACTACCCCACATGTTTCAAGAGACATGATGAAAATCGAACCATCCGAACGCGCAGCTCTAAAAAATGGGCGTGGACACCGGTTTGGTTCGAAGTGAGCTCGAAGCCCTTGGAAGCTCGGAAAGCTGCACACAACAGAACAAAAACTTCAAAAGGTAGCAGAACAAAAACTAAAGAATCTGGAACAAACCTCTCATTAATTCGTTCCCTTTCTGCTTCACCGGGCCACAGGATCACCTTTCCAGACCATTCCAATAGCGCATCTAAGACATCGGAAAAGAACTCTGGAACATTTGCGCCCATTGGATCCAGCTCTTCTTTAACAGAGTTCTTTCCTGCCATTATTTCGAGAGCAGTGCCAACCCTGATGGCAACTGAGCTTTGACATGCCTCTGTATGCCATTTTGATAGCAGCTTCGGCTCCAGTGCATCGCATAGCGATTTGAATGTACTGCGCGACATTCGGAAACGTTGTCGAAACTTCACTTCGGCGACTGAATCTAGACTATCCAAGCGATCGCTTATGGATTTGGAAAGTTTTCCCACAGCAGAAAGTACAACTGTCCCGCAGTGTGTCGAAATACGAGCTGAAATGGCAAGATGTTCTTTTCTAGTGGCGAAGTATTTGCATGATATTATTGCTTGTATTCGTTTTGAGTTATTAAAGCTTGCCAAAAAAATTATTAGACATAGTTGCGGGGGGCTGATCACGACAGCACATCAAAAAAAGTCAAATCACTGAAATGGCTAGCATTTGAAAAATGGGGAACTTGACTGCACTGGAAATTTCCAGATAAAAGATTGTCGCTGTCTTTACGTTACTGCTTAGTTGTTCGTCTTCGAATTCAGCCCTCCCTTACACGCTGTTCTTGCCATATTTAACGGCATGACTTTTTGACGTACTGAACAACAATCAACAATAAAGAATTATTGGCCAACAAACCTCACCTATCTTGCACAAAATAACCTTTCTTTGATTCTCGCTCGCACTCTTCATCATCGGCTGTGAGCATAACACCTTAATTACACACAAAATGGGGTATGAAACTCGTTTTTGGAAAGTAATAAACAAATTCAAAAGACGTAATTGGCCAAAGGATGATAACTAGTAAAACGAAGACACCTCTGACCACAGACGGTGAAGAATCGAGCGACATCGAAGAGCTTGTGGATTGAGATGACTTGATGCAACAAGTCTGTTGCCGATACCGCGTCAACATCCGAAGGTTCTTGTTTCGCTTCGTTGTATAGCGGCATCTGGCCATAACCTTCAATTCACTCGTTTACTATTAAAACATGATCTTATAACATCATTCCTAAAAAAATTTTCACATTGCTCACGACGCTTTTTCACAACGAACCGAAGGCGCATGGGAAAGTGGCAAGAATGAGTGGACATAGGAGAGCCTGCTTTGCGAATTGTGTTTCTATTCATACGTTTCGATGCACGCCCACCGAGCAACGCAAACGCGAATCCAGCCGTTATCTCTGACACTTGAGAAGGAAAATAAAAGATTTCTTGGATTTACCTGAAGCGGACGTCGTGGCAGCACAACCTTTGCTCGAATTTTTGACCTTTTCAGGAATATCTGTTGACGAGGATATCTTAAACACTAAATTCAATTAAAACGCGCATTTCACAACTGACAATAAATACGTCGCACCTCTCTCCGTTTTCGCCCATTTCGCGGTTTTCCCTGCTGAGCATGTTCAGTAGCAACACGGCGGAAGTTCCATTGCAGATGGTTAAAAAGTTGTCCCCGGAGGTAATTGACCCATAACACAAATATCAAATTTGTTTAGCGCAAGAACGCCTAGCGCCAGCGCCACGAGTGGCGACGCCAAAAGGCAATACATCTTTCCAACCTTGCTCGAAATTTGTCGTCAAGGCTGCTCGACCCATGGAACATGAATATTATTCGTTCACGAATGAGGTTTTGGAAAGCGGCTCAGGCACCGGTGCAAATTAAGGTAATGCGCGGGCGCGAGGTGTTTTCGAGACAAACTGATGTAATATTCATTTTCTACGGGTTGAATAACTGGAGATAACTTTCTAGCAAATCCGCAGCCATGAACGAATTCTATTAATTGGAAGCCGACATTTTTTTAAAGGAGCAGTTCAGGGAAAATAGCGACAAAAGCAGTTGTAGAAATAACAAGAAATACTTACAGCGCGAATGAAGTGCTTTTGGCAAAGGCGCCTGAATGTGACAAACGTCTCCTCGTAGAGTTTCTTTGCTGTTTCTATATCAATAGCGTTTTCCATAAGCAAACAGGAAAGAAATATGATATTTTGCTCGAGCTTTTTTGGCGAATTGCGAGCATCTAGCAGGGGCCGGATTTTGCCGCACAGAACACAGCAGAAACCGGTGCCTCTGCAACATTAGGATCATATACGGTAAAATTGATGGGAGGTATTCTTTTCTCCAAATTAATGCAGCTCACATAGGTTTTTCTTTTTCATTTGAAATTTATGCTTACTTTGGTTCCTTTGGCAATATTTTGGACGAGCTCTCTTGATCAGCCAACAATTCATCATTCGAGTTCTGGTACGCTATTTTGCCTAATGGACTTGGAAATCCCAAAATGCGGGAGAATGGATGCGTTTCTGGAAAGCGAAGTAATTATATAAGCAGAGTAAGAACCGGTGTATACAGCAGTGTTCCAAATTTCCCAGCTTCTAACTTCTAAAAGGGAAATATGGGCTCACTAGAAAGTCAAAAGAGTTAAACACGAAGCGAATACAAACACCGCAGTCTTTGAAAGCTATGTTCATATCCGTCGCTTTGAGGTAATAAAGAACCTCCGAGAAGGAATAAATAACAATTGTTTAATTTGACTACGCTCAAATTAGGAACTAGCAAATGGAGACGCCGTCCACATGGGAATAGAAAAAGGTAGAAATGGAAAATAGAAAAATCCATGAAAATGGTTGGATCTGCATCGATTCTGCCGTCCGCATCCTCTCGGTGTTTCGGGAGAACTGGCGAACCTTAGATTCACCTGTGCATGCATGCCAACTCCTTTAAGCGGTTTCCCGATCCGCTGCTTGATTATTAACGAAATATCTAAAAGGTTAAAGACCAGCTTGAAGCGCATGGTGAATGCGCTATTTTCAGAAACAGGACCTATTTCCAAACTGACTTAAACAAATTTCAGTAGTTTTCACGTCGAATATACTAAACAAAAAGAAATGAGCCACAAGCTACCGTGAATACTATAATTACTCTCTGCAGGGAAAGAAGCGCGAGTGAGAAGATTACGAAAAGCATCTACCTGTTTTTGGGTCCTGTGTGGCAATAGGCAACTCAGTTCCCTAAACAGCACTGTTGATAAATCACGAGAAGAAGTTATGAAAATGGAATAAAAACCTACTTTAATCTCGGGGAAATTGCTGAAGAGCGAAACATCCTTATACCCATTCAACCTCTGGAAAGAGTCTTTTAAAAGAAGGACAGATCTGCGACCTATATAGTGCTATACTCGTGATGTCGCGAAATGAATACATCAGAACACAAAATAAAAGTTGAGAATCTGACAAACTGGCTCAAACGAGGGTGAAACATTTGCATTTTTAGATTCACCTAATCTCCATCTTACTAAAGCAAACTGATTCACTCACAATGGAGCTTCCTACATTCGCAAAACAATATTGCTCTTCTCGAGAGGTATCATATCGTTCAAGTGCTGATCACGTGAAGCAAATGTTTGTGAATTTGAAATAAGCGTTTCTTTTCTTGAGAAATAGAAGAGGATAAACCAGAGTTCAGCGAGGAAATTTGGCAGTCAGCACGACCATCTCCCTTAGGTGAGACCCGACCTCGGTAGCAGGTCTTACTACACTACTAGGGCTTGGTGCCCGCGATTAGCGCACTCGCAGGAAATGCAATGCTCGATAATTACTTGGGCAGGTGTTGCTAATTTCGCCACAAATTCTGCTTGATAGTGATGATTGGAAGGCGAATGCTCAGAATGCTACTCGTTTCATATTCAGTGGTCCCAAATTCAAATGTTCAGGATTCTATTCTATTTTTTCTGGGACGAAACCCAGCGGATTAGCAAATTCACTTCTCGGTTCAAAATCTATGGTGAGCTTTGTCCCTGAAATGGAAAAAGAACAGAATTATGAACATTTAAATGAACATTTGACATTGAACATACAGTAGCGCTCAAGTCTTTGGCCAAATGCGTTTTCGGCCATAACTTTTTTCAGCTTACTAAATTCGTTCAAATTTCAAAAAAAATTGAAAGACGAGCCTCCTCAAATCAGCGTATTTGTGTTGAATGAGAGGAGGAGAGAAAAATGAAAAGTGTTTTACTGGAAACTGATCCAGAGTTGACCAATTTTCGGCATTTTTAAGTTATTTATATATAAAAAATAAACTTGCAATTCGACAGAATAATCGAGTGCATGATAAATAATATTAAGGAGAACCGATGCTTTGTTGCAAATTTTCTCTTCTCAATATTTAATAAATTTCTACTCCATATTTCTGGCCTTTTATGGAGTATCCTCGCTTCTTCCCGTAGCATCTCACAACGTTGTGGCGTGTGCAACTAGATGCCCCCCCCCCTAAAAGCATCCGCGCGCTGTCAAGAGCGTTCTTGCACACTGAGGTGTGCAATGCTTTAAGTCAGTCTAATGCTAGAAGAAGTTAGTTTGATGAGTGCCATACGCGTGGATACATGACACCTTCTTACTAGAATGTAACATATACGTCCTCTTCACTATTTCTCAATTTGAAATTGACCTAGAAATTGATCATACTCGGGAATTTCCAGCAAAACAAATTTCCATTCTTCTCTACTCCCCCCCCCCCCGATATCACTATTCGGTGAAGCAGGCTTGTCTCCAAAATATATCGGAATTTGAACGGATTTGATATGGCAAGAAAGTTACGTACGAAAAAGCATTTGGCCGAAGACTGCAAAAAAGGTAGAACGATGAACATCGAAACATTGGACATGAAACAAGTCGAATATGACTGCTTCTTTCAATCATCACCTATCGAGCAGAATATTAGCGGATTAAGCACTTCGCAGTATGATGGAGCACTAGTGACTTCTGCCGATTGAGGCTAGTATCAGAGTACGCGATTCGTCGCGCGATTCGCAATAGGCAAAAAATGGCTGCACCCTAAGAACACTTCAAACAGGTCAATCAGAGGTTGAGGTGGGGGGGGTGGAGTAAAGGGAACGGGAAGGTACGCACTACAGACACGACACGCAAGACTCCAAAACCTTTTGAGAGTTCATGTGCGTGGTATTTCCGATTCCTCATGAAACTGCCGAAAAAGCGCGAGGGCCCTGAAAACGTAAACTCGCACTGGATCTTGTTCCTATATTTTTCGAAAACTCACTGCTGCTTCCTCAAAAGACAGCACCCATTCCAAAAACAATTTCAGATCTCGCCCACTAAGGGGCCTTTCCGGTGGTGTTTCATGCCGGCTACAGCAGCTGTTACTTTTTTAGGGGAAAGAGGCTCGATCGCTCGCACAAAAAAACTAGGTGAGTATGACTTTGTGCCGAGCTCTTATACCAAGCAACGGTGTCTGCAGAGATTCCAAAAGTGTTGGACGGTCTGCACCAAAGCTCTTACGATTAGTGATGGTAGAACCCGTCATGGTTACACGGACACGTCGAACTCTTGATGTAGGTCATTTTTGAATGATGGAATATACTTCACAAAACTCGGTTGCTTCGGAGCAGTACGTCCTCTGTTCACACCCAGTAAAGGGAGAGGGCATGCGGCAAACAACCCAAACAGCAACCTGATTTTTCGCAAGGAAGGAAGCTCCAGGGTGAGTGTGAGGCGGAAGCGAAACGTTCCGCGAACTCTGTAGATGTCTTTTGCTCCCAAAAATTGTGATCTCAAGAGGGCATGTTGTACCACGTGTGCCCTCCCCTCACTTGGTGAGAATCACGTCCAGTCAGTTCCTGCAGGGTTTCTACCTTCGACACTAATGGTGTGGAACGATGCTCTCGCCCTAGCCAAGAACGTAAGAAGTGTCACTGTACAAAAAACTCATTCTGGAAAGCTGATAAAAGGGAGCTGAACGGCTTCCGAAGTGGGTGTGGTTGGAATCGATCGCCCGAGGCATTGCAGCCGATTTTCAACCACGCCCACAGAGCCGTTAGCTCTCTTTCTAGCAGCTTTCCAAGGTGTGTTTTGTGTACGGATCAGACTTCTTACGTCTTGATACGGCTGAGGCATCGTTACTATACGCATTCATGTGAAGGGAAAAACTCTGTTGGGACTGTTGCTTTAACCGAAGTGTCCAAACCATAAGGGTTAAGAAGGCATTCGAAATGTTTGATAAGCTGACTTACCAAAAATTTAAATATCTTTTTGCTTGAGCTATGACTTTGTCCGAACTCTTATAACAAGCAACGGTGTCTGCAGAGATTCCAAAAGTGTTGGATGGTCTGCACCAAAACGCCTCTTAGTGGTGTAGACCCTATGGTACAACCGCACACGTCGAGACTCTTGATGTTGGTCATTTTTAAATGGTGGAATATTCTGCACAAAACTCGGTTGCTTCAGAGCAGTACGTCCTCTGGTCACATCCAGTAAGGGGAGGGGGAGCATGCGGCAAACAACCCGAAACAGCAACCTGATTTTTCGCAAGGAAGGAAGCTCCCGCCTGGGTGTGAGGCGGAAGCGAAACGTTCCGCGCACCCTGTAGATCTCTTTCGCTCCCAAAAATTGTGATTTCAGAGGGCATGTTGTACCACGCGTGCCCTCGCCTCACTTGGTGAGACTCATGTCTTTAACCAAAGTGTCCAAAACCATGGGGGTTAAGGAGGCATTCGAAATGTTTGATAAGCTGACTTACCAAAAATTTAAATATCTTTTTGCTTTCTTCTATGGTGTTTATTCCAACCACTATATACGATATAGCCCTGAAATGACGCGAGATGCTGTAATTCAGATCAAAAGCAAGAAAACATTGCTGGATTAGCTAACGCTCGAATTGAGATTTCAAAAGTAGGGAAGGTATGTTGGCACGTTTCAATGAACTGAGAAGGCTGTTTGAGGTCTTCTTGCAAAACATTTTGGGAATTCTTACGAAAACTCACTTGCGTTTGTTTGTGTTGTTATCATCAGTGACCGACGTCATGGCTCTGAAAAAGCGCAACGTCGGCGACGCACTGCGGACATTGATCCTGCTTGGGCGCAATATTGCGTGGAATCGACTGCATTTACGGACTATCTCAGCACTACTGAAACTTCATTTAAAAAGTGATTTTCAGTTCATGCCCTTTTCATCGGAACCATTTCGAGGGACTGAAAAAAGGAGGTGGATTTCACTATTAATGCATGAAAATCTTGAAAAAATCAGCTGTAGCCCACCTTCTGCCAGGACTTTCTGCCATTTCTGCACCTTGGCTTGAAGTTCCTCTCTGCTATCCGCTATCAGGCGATGTCGTCAGCGTAGAGGATGGTCTTCAGTGGTCCCTTCCATGAGCCCCTTCACCAGGACATCTAGTGTTAGGAGGAAGAGGAACGGGCTCAGAGCTGACCCTTGGTGCACCCCAACCGTGATGTCCACCTCCTTCGTTAGGCCGTGAGGGGTGCGTATGGCTGCCTTGGCTCCTTCGTACATGTCCTTCACCAGCGAGATCAGGTGTTCTGGCACGTTTCGTTCCCTGAGCGATCTCCAGTACTGCTCGCGGTAGCCGGTCGAACGCCTTCTCCAGGTCGAGGAAGGCTAGGTAGCAGGGTCGGCGCTTTTCTCGATACTTCTCCATCACTTGCCTGGCGATGAAGATGGCATCCGTTGTAGACTTTCAGGCATGAACCCGAACTGTTCCTGGGAGATCGGGACCAGCTCCCGCAGCTTCGAGTCGACCAGCCGCTCGTACAACTTCATGGTATGCGCAGTCAACTTGATCCCGCGGTAGTTGGAGCAGTCCATCGCGTCACCCTTCTGCTTGAAGATGGGGACGATGGTACTTGTCCTCCATGCATCCGGCATCTTTCCTTCCACTGTTACCTTGTTCAGGAAGCTGGTGAGCCACCTTATGCCGTACTCTCCGATGCCTCGATTGGCACCCCATCTGGGCCAACCGCCTTTCCAACCTTCATCCTCCCAAGTGCACACCTAACCTCATCCTCAGTCCAGAGTGCGATGGGACCAGCTGTGGCCTCTGCCCGTGAGTTGTTCTTGTGGGGAACTCCTCGTTCAGAAGCCCCTGAAGTACTCTTCCCACCTCCTCTTGACTTCGGCTGGCTTCCTTAGGATGACACCATCGCTGCCTTTTACACTTTTCACCACCCTGATGTCTTGGGTAGCACGATGCCGGGCCGGGCCTTAGCCAGCCTGAAGACGAACTTCTCTGCGTTTCTGCTTTCCAACTTCTCGTACAAGGCGTCCATTTCCGTGTTCTTCGCCTTGGCGACGCAGCCTTAGCGAGCCTC